TGTAGTTCACCTCCAGTTTCAAATGCTTTAAGAATGAAATCAGGCCTCTTCCTGTAACAGGTCTTCATGATTTAAGCACTATAAGATTTTAATATCTTTCTTTCTTCCCAGCTTAGTTCCAATGTTATTCATCATTGCTCAAATACCAAAAGTGTTGAAGGGAAAACTTGGCATATATGGCAGACTAGTTCTGTGTTTGAGAATCCCGTGGTTCAATCCGCTAGGGTCAGCCCAAGTGTCTATATACCACTTAGCTGGCTTCTACTAGTATACAGCAATCACTTCTTTGCCCATTTATATCTCTAGACTCAATTAATGTTTCAAAGCGTGCAAGTGGCCACCATTCACTTCTCATCTAGGAGAAAGTTACCTGTTTTAATGAACTTACATGAAAACTTATTTGTGACACAGTTCTTCAATGGATTTAAGGAAAAATACAATTTAAAAAATTTAAATTATTAAAATTATATAAAAAGTTTTTTTTCTCATTGTTATTATATACAGCAATAATCTCTTGAAATATACATCCATCATTCTCGATGACCAAATCCTTAACATCTTTAAACTTCTACCACCTTCAAACTCAAATGAAGGAAAAACCTCTTCAATCTCTAGGCAGCTGATGGCTTCATTTCACTGTCACTATTGATTTACTCACGTACGTTTTCAATCAGTGTGTAGGTTCTGAAATGACAAATATAATCTCATCTATTGTGCCTATGGACAGTTGAAGGGAGGCTTTGTTGTTGTTTTGTTGTTAAGTGCCACTGAGTTGGTTCTGACTCATAGCGACACTATATAAGGCTTCCAAGCAATGGCTGGTGAGTTTGAACTGCCAACTTTGTGGTTCAAGGCGACCTTGCAGTCCTGTGCTTCATCCCACAGCAAACAGGCAAAAATCAATAAGACAAAATTCAAGTATGTTTAAGAAAGAAAAAGATATTTGCTGATTTCTAAGATTTTCTTAAAGCATACTATGCATCAAAGACCACGAGTTCCCAGATTATGAACAAGTTCTGTTTTTTAAGTCTGTCCATAAGCCAAATTGACATATAAATCAAAACCCTTAGGTATAGTTCATATCTAATATCAGTCAAATGTTTGTCTTAGTATATAGTGTATACTTCCACATACATTAAAACATCTTTAACATAATATAATAATAATGCTTTGATATGTATCACAAAATAGTTTATTATTAAGAATCACTGTATATACCTTGAATTGTTAATATAATACGCTTTATGGGGTTGATTCACAACTATAGACTGAACATAAGTTGGACCTTCATAACCTTGGGATTGTCTGTACACCTAAACTATGTATTACGAAAAAACTTATGCTTCAGCAACTAAAAACAGTATCAGAGAAAATTAAGAACTACCAAGAAGGCAAGATTTATATGCCTGAATGAAAGCTATTGATTGTTGTTTGTTGTTAAGTGCCACTAAGTTGGTTCCGATTCATAGTGACCCTGTATTGGATTTCCAAGGAGTGGCTGGTAGGTTTGAACTGCTGACCTTGCAGTTACCCATCCAGTGCTTATCCTACAGTGCCACACCAGGACCCCAATGATAGAAAAGATTTTTCAAACTATAAATGAAATATGTATCCTTTAAAAAAATAAAAGATCAAGTGGTATTGGCCAATAGGGAGGAGGCCCCAGTATACTATCATATTTTATAAGAGAACTGCTCAGCTCTCTAACTTTAGCACATTCTACAAACACCAGAATTACACTGCAGTCTTGTAATATGCTCCCTGTTATATTTTTATATGACCCTATGCTTTGCCATTTATAAGGCAGCTATTTATATTCCTAATGTAAAGATGTACAGTTGCTTGAATATATCAGTAAGTTTTATAAACTATTTAGTGAATAAATGTTCCATTCTTAAATTAAGATGAAAAGATCTTTCAATACATTTAAAATCACACATAGCAGGGATATGCAAAGAACATGATGCTCTACTCTAATGACATAATAGGGAAAGGAAACACTTTGATCAGAGTACTTTAAATATACTACTTTTGATATCTGAGAAATTCCTAAGGCAGAAGTACTAGGAGGTGTAAAAAGTATTTATCCAGAAGGGTAAAGCAATTTAGAAAGCTTAGGACTGATTAACTAGGCCAAAGGGAATAGAAGTGATGACAGAAAAGGAGATGGCTAATACAAATAATTTAGTCAGAGTTGAAAAGCTGGGGACATTTTTATATTTCTTGTCAGTTGTCAAAATATTTTAAAACAGCAATGAACTAAAATTAAGGACAATTTTAAATGACATATTGTCAATACATAAGCCATTTTCAAAAACTAAATTAATCCACAAAACAAATACCTACACTAAGAAAAAATATAACTGGAATTTCTAGTAAATTATTTTTTTAACAATTTAGTATATTTTTAAAAGGAGTAACACATTTTCCAATGCTTAGATTCTCTTGTAAGTTGTCCCTGAACATATAGTTGGTATCATCCTATGAAACTGTATAAAGAGAAACTGCTAAGTAAGGATGTTCACACTACAGTCAAAATGACTCTACAAGAACCCTAAATGCACAGGTATAAATTAGGATGGTTGATCTGTAGTTTTAGCTTACACAGAAAATATTTAAATGGAAGCTAAATGACAGCTGGTGAAATGTGACTCTGTGATTCAATCACTCAAAAAAAAAAATCAGCTCTAAGGCAATATAAATGTGTAAGACTTTTGAAAGTGTTTTGGAGTTCTGTAATATGTACACCACCTAAAGCAATTTGAAATTCAGAGCTTGTCATTTTGTTGTTTTCCAAGCCAGTTAACTACAGTTAAAAGAAAAAAAGTAAGTTATGAAAGGCAAGTGTGGTTTTGTAACAAATGACTTTACAAGTATGTTGATTTTTAATATAAAGGAATACAGTCAATAAAATAAAGTTCAATTAAGAACTTTTTAAAAAGAAATCCCCTAATATGTATACCTGGTCTCACTTACCAAAGGTGGAAGAATGAGGTCAGCAGGAAAAGAAAAATCCACCAGTAAAAGGGCAAAGATCAGATGGATTCCTTACTTAAGGATTATTATTTCATAGTCTCCATGGAGATGAATACAGAGAAGCAGGAGAAGTATGAGTGATGCAGAGTCACTGGCTATCCAGATTAGTCTGGCTACTACTTAGATAAAAATAAATACATTTAAGTTTTATAAGGTGACTAGATTACTTCAAAGTACTCTTCTGGGTAGCCATTCAAATACCTTCTAATGGTTTCTTAATTTGAACTCCTTAGAACTCGGGTCAGAGCATTTCTGGAAAGGGACCAAATTAAAAACTGTGTTCTCTGTCTCCTAATATTCACAATCAATTATTTTTCATTAAAATATATAGAGTATTACTGTACATCAAATAAAAAATCTATTAGAATAGCTCTCATTTTCATTAACTGAGAAAAAAGAATGTTTGTTTTTTTTAGGAATGCCTATTAACTTCTTCCCCCATGTGGATATAAAAATATTAACTCCTAATGGGACAAGTAATCAGTAACGAAGTTGAAGATTTATAAGAGAAGGAGAGATTTTGGCATCAGTATTAAGATATAAATAAAACAAATAAATTTCAATAAAGGTGGAAGTCATTTGAATAAAATAAATCTAATTAACATTAACACTGAAGGGGAGAAAACACAGGAAAAATACAGTACTTTGATAAATTATGAGGGACAACAACAAAACTAAACTTGAATTTACAATACAAGTTGGAGAGGAAGGGTAAGAAAACAAAAACACCAAAAAATAAGGTCCTTTTCATATCTGTTTAAATAGTCATACCTTTAATATTTGTTTAACGTTAATCATCTCATTACCAGAAATTAGCAGTATAAAAAGACTAAAGGAATTATGTGAAACTCAAGTGTCAAGAATTTTTTCTTAGGAGTAAATTGTTGTTTTTGTTAAGTGCTGCTGAGTTGGTTCTGATTCACTGAGACTCTCTATAGGTCTGAGGAGCCTATAGAGGGGTTTGAAAACACAGACCTTGTGGTTAGCAGCCCTGTGCTTATACTACAGTACCACGCCAAGCCCCAAATAGTTATTAGAAGAACTTAAAAATAGAAGATATTAATTTAAACGTAATTTTAAAAGTACAAGTATATAAAACACCATTCATCTAAATTACAGGTTGTTTTTGTTAAGTGCCATCAAGTTGGTTCTGACTTATTGTGACCCTGTATAGGGTTTCCAAGGAGCGGCTGGCTGCTGAGTTTGAACCACCAACCTTGAGGTTCAAATCAACCTTGAGGCCTAGTGCTTATCCTACAGTCCCACACCTAACTTATAAGTTAGGACTCCTAACTTATAAGTAGTGACCATAATTAAGATATTTAATTTGCTACAAAATAATTTATTTGCTATAAAAATAATACAGAAAGGGAAAAATTGTATTAAATGAAACAACAGTAGCAATGAGTTGATGACATTTGAGTGATAGGTACACTATTCTATCTACTTGTACATATGATCAAAGTTTTCTAAATGTAAATAAACACATTTTAAATTACTTATTTAGTCTATATTTGATGGTATGGTTTATTAACATAACTACCAAATCAGTAATGTTTTAGTAAAGTTTCAATTAATTACTATCTTTCAAATACAAAGAAGATACTATTGTTGTTGTTACTTGCTGATGAGTGGATTTTGACTTACAGCAACCCCATGTGTGTACAGTAGAAGTTTTCAGTAGGCTCAAGGTTGTGATCTTCCAGAAGTGGATCATCAGGCCTGTCTACCAATGTGCCTCTGGGTGGGTTTAAACCATCAGCCTTTTCTCTAGTAGTCAAGTGTTTAACTGTGGCACCCAGGGACTCCAAGTGATCCAATAATAGTAAAATTAGTGCTCTTACATGTTTTACAGCAACACATTTAGATTCAAGGAGGAACAATATTCGAAACAAATAATTTAAATTTGTTTAAAAAAAACAAACAGAAAAGGTTTAAAAAAAAACGTTACAAGTTGCTCTTACCCTGTCCAAGATGTGAAGGTTTTTGAGAAATTATGTGGCCACTGCCATCTAAAACATACTGGGTGCTAAAATTATCAGCAGCTGTCCTTGTTGTAATGAAAACCTGGTGGGGGAAAATTAATAACATTATGATTTTAGACATGCAATGGGCTCATTATCAAACTAAATTTAGCAATTATCAATTAATATGTTTACTTAAGATTGAAACAAGTTTTACATGATAAATTATTACTATCATTCCTCTTAAAATACTCCTTAGTGTTACAGTATAAGCAACAGACCAGCTTAGATTTTTTATAGTGCAAATTACTGATTTTTGTTTTGAATATTTTACTTTAAAACACTCATACTTGGCTATTTCAGTGTCAGGGAGTTCTGGTGTAGGGCTAAAGCACTGGACTGCAAGGTCGGTTTGAACCATAAGTTCAGCAGTTCAAACTCATCAGTTGCTCCTTGGAAACCCTATACTAACTAGGTCACTAGAAGTCGAAACCAACTCCACGGCACTTAGTAACAACAATATATGTCACATAACTTGTATCTGTAAAATCAAATCAGCTATATTAGAGGAGTCTGCTTGTTCACAGACTATTACATACATAAGTGTGTTGGAAAAGTGAATACTCCCTTTGTAATGTGATCATTCTTTCCCTTTTTATATTCTGTGTAAAGCTGCAGTTCTATGTCTTAATGTTTATGGCTTAAAAGAATAAAAATATATCACGCAGCTACCTAGTTATAGACAAGTTTTTCTTAAGCATGTTTAAATGTAAATATATATTCAGCTTCAGCATATGCCTTAGTGAGTATTTATTCTCTCACAGTTTAGGAGTCTAGAAGCCTGAATTCAGGGTGCCTGCTCTAAGGAAGGTTTTTTCTCTGTCAGTTCTGGAGGAAGGTCCTTGTATGGTTTTTGAACTTCTGTTCATGGATGATCATCATGTGGGTTTGGCATCTCTCTTTCCCCATCTCTGCTTCTCTCCTTTGCTTGTTTCATCTCTTTTACATCTCAAAACAAACTGATTCAAGACAGCCTACACTAATCATGTCTTATTAACATAGTAAAGACAACCCATTACCAGGTGGGATTATAATCACAGGCATAGAGGTTAGGATTTAAAATACATATTTTTAGAGGGTACTGAATTCAATCCATTATATTCCACAACGGGCTCCCACACATGCATGTCCTTGCTACATATAAAATCCATTCACTCCATTACATCTTCCCAAAAACCTTAAATCAATACCAAGTTCAAGATCTTATCTTCTGGAACATCTAAATCAAATACAGGTGAGAGTTTAGACATATTCCATACTGTGGCAAAATTCGTCTTCATTTGTGCATCTGTGAATTTTAGAATGTAAGTCATGTGTTTCCAAAGTACAGTGGTGGAGCAGACAGGTACAGGGAAAAATTGGATGGAAAAAAGTGGTAACAGGTATCAAACAAGTCCAATACCCAGCAGAAAAAAATAAACAATCCTCTTCTCTGAGATCGTCTGGACAAAGGCCCAGCCCTCCAGACTCTAGGTACTGGCCATGATCTCTGGATTCTGGTTGGAGATCTCTCAGTTGTGCGCTTTTGCTCTGTGAGTCTTTCCAGGACAACTTACATAGTAACTGCTCCCTTAGCTTATAAACAGCCTCATTCTTCCTACCCATCTAAGTGGCAACCCCACCCCTTAAGCCCTACCAGGCCACGTTTTTCTACCCTTTGGGAACAGGAACCCTTCCTCATGTACCCCCCTCCCTAGTTTTGGACAGCAGCACCATCCCCCTGGCAGGCACAAATAGCAATTCCACATTTAGGACCCAAGTTGGCAAAGATCTGACCCTGTGAAACCTAGGAGACAGCGCGGCCCTACCCTTAGAGACTCAGAGAGCCCTTCTTCTCATTCTCTTTCCAGCCAATGTGCTGATATCTGAGGTGCTCTGGGGATGGTCTTGTCTTTTCTTGGAATATAACAGATGTAGCTCCTTTGATTTTCTGTATGTAGAATTCTAAGAAGCAGACCGTTACTCTCTTTCATTCTTTCTCTGTCCCCTTCAGTTGAAGCTAATGGATTTTCTACTTTGGTAGATTAAGCCATCTATCCCAGGCTTAGTCTGTTTAAAATATTGTGTGGCCAAGCCTTTGGTGAGCATTTTAAGACCTATGCCTTTGTTTGTTGAATAGAATTTTATAAATCTTTATGTTGTTTTCATTTTGTATGTTGTTGCCATTTTTTAAGTACATCTCTTTCCTGTTGCCCTTTATAGAAGCAGCAAGGAGAAACTACTTGGCCCCTTTAAGATTCTGCTTAGAAATTTCCTCAGGTTAATACCCAAGTTCATCACTTAAAAGTTCTACAGTCTATCAAACATTTGAACATAATTCAGACAAGTTCTTTGCCACTTCCTCTGTTGTCCAATCATATGTCTATCATTAACTTTTTAAAGTTTCACCAGTAGCACATTTAACATTCACGTTTCTAGCCACATTCTTTTTTTTTTTTTTTAATGTTTTATTGTGAATTATGTGATAGTTTACATGGGAGAACATTAGTTTTACATTCATTATATCGTCTCATTGCCATGGTTACAATCCCCTCTATGCAATCCTTCTTCCGTCCCTGCCCCCAGGTCTTCAGCACACAGTCGCTCTCCCTCTCTGGATCTAAAGTCTCCAGCTGCTCCATCGCTCCACGTCATAATCTCTGGCTCCATTTCAGTCATCACTGCTTCTCTGGGTAGGGTCCCGCTCTCTGCTCTTCTCCCTTGATGATCCTAGGGACCTCCGCTCCTAGACTGAAAAGTCAATCACTCCCCTCCTTGCTATAAAACGTCTACCTTTACATTTCCGACCCTCACAGTCCTGATAACAATTATTCACTATTGTATCACAAGAGACCCATCTGTATTTCATTGCATCAGCTCCGCCTAGTCAGACTGAATACTACTCACTGGAGATTCTACCTTCCTCCAGGCCCTCTGGATCTAGGTTCCCTCTTGAAAGTTTATAAGCCAGTCACTTCTTGCCTTTGTAGCCCCCTCACCCACCATTTTGGGTAGCCAATGTCCAAGTTGCCCATCCCTGTCTACTCTGTGTGTGGAGGGGGTGGGAATGAGTCTTGCTGTAAGGACTTGTTCCCTCTTTTGAGCTACTGCTTCCATAGGTGTAGGTGTAGGTCAAGTTCATCAAATTGTATGAGAATACTTTTTTTTTTTCCCTCTTTCTAGCCACATTCTTTTGTTGGTACTATATGCATTCTCTAAAATGACATAAACTTTCTTTCATATCTCTCCTTACATCCTTCTGAGCCCTTACCAGAATTGCTTTTGACACCTATAGTTCTAAAAACAGTTTCTTCAGACAATCTAGACTTTTACTATGAGGCACTTTATAACTCTTCCAACTTCTACCCGTCACCCAATTCCAACCCCACTTCCACATTTTAGACATCTATGAGAGCAGCACCCCACCATCTTAATTATCTAGTGCTGCTATGAGTGGGTGGCTTCAACAAACAAATCGATTTTCTCCAACTTTAGGAAGCTAGAGTTCTGAATTCAGAGTGCTAGAAATAGGGGAAGGCTTTCTCTCTGTTATCCCTGGAGGAAGGTCTTTGTGTCTTTTGCTCCTAGATGATCTTCATGCAGTTTAGCATCTCTTTATTCCCATCTCTGCTTTTCTTGCTTGCTTATTTAATCTCTTATATCTCAAAAGAAACTGACACAAGCCACAGCCTATACTAATTCTGTCTCATTAACATAGCAAAGACAACCCATTTCCAAGTGATATTATAACCACAGGCATAAGTTAGGATTTAAAACACTATTTGGGGGAGGATGGGCACAATTAAATTAAAAACAACATAAAAATAAAAGGTTCTCAATCAGCATAAATATATTTTCTAAAAAGCTAGTCTCAGAAACATAAATGTAAGCAGATCTACACTTTGAGCCCCTCTCACCCTCAGCTGTCTATTTATCCACATCATGAATTAGTAGTAGGAGACTATAACAAAGGTAATATATATCACTTTTGGAACTGCAAGGTTGGTGGTTCAAACACACCAGCCACTCCTTGGAAAGCCTATACGGGGTCACTATAGGTCAGAATCAACTGAATGGCACTTAACAACACGATGTGAGGCTAGTAGGAGAGCTGTTGTTTTTGTTAAGTGTCTTCAAGTCAGTTCTGACTCATAGCGACCCTGTATAGGGAGCAGATAGTGAGTTTGAGCCCCTGACCTTGAGGTTCATTGCATTATCCCAAAGCTCCACACCAGTATAACATAGTAAAATGTATCACTGTCAGAGAATACCATTGATGGTGGTGCTTGTAAGAAAAGCAGAGTGGACTAGGAAGAGACCAGTCACTTCACATTCTAACGAGTAATGAAGACCCCAAACCGTGAGCAAGCTTCTTGACTATATTTCACCTCAGCTGTACATGTGATGATTCTGTCACCCTGTCTACCAGGCACTAAGTATTATAGGCCATATATAGTTCTGAGACGCATGCAGCTACAATGCAGGAACTACCAAATAGCACCACGAAAGCCTTTGGCTTCTCTAGTTCACTGTACTAGTAGATTCTATTAGATTCTCTCTTGAAAGTGAAGTCCACAAAACCCTTAATAGGGGCACTGCCTCAAACTGTTATTTCCATGATAAACTATCACACAAAAAAGGTATCACCTGAAACAGACAAAGTTGTAAGCCTCTGTGTACTCTTAAATGATTGTTCTACTTCTTCCAAAAATATATTCCAAGGTTCAAGTTACATAATTTTACAAAAAGGGTTTTCCAGATAACTCCCCTTAATATTCTGTTAATTCCAATCTGCTGTGTCCAACAGTGATTTTCTCTAGTAAAGTTTGTTTAAAACAGGGGGCAGAAATTGTTGGAGATCTTTTTTCCTGTCTTTAATTTAATTACTTCATGATTGTCTCTTTAAAAACAATTCTACATTTAACCAACTGCTTTTCCAAAATGCCAAGGTCAATTGAATTCTATTTCTATTCTCCAAAGGGCTAGCCACCTGACCTAAAGTTGGTGTCACTGAGCAAAGGCAGCCCTGGAACTCTGAGTTCTAGCACTAATTCTGCCAATGGC